AAAATCTAAGAAAAAATAATTAAAATATATTTTTAATAATCAGAAAAATTAAAATAGTAAAAATTAAATGAAAAATAATTTTAAAAAAAACTAAAAAAACATTTACTATTTTGTTGAATAATAGATTTTAAAATTTTGCATCTTATTTATCATTATATTCAAAAAAATAAAAAAGTATTTTTAATAAATTATATGATTAGTACAATATATATAATATAACAAATACATTAATATAAAATAATGTATAATTTATGCATATTTAAATTTATTCTTATAACAAATTGCTTTTTTAATTTCATGAGCAAATTTATCTATTATACAGTCTAAGGAATAATAAGTTAATTAATACTACTTAGTTGTATAGTTGTCTAACGAAACCTATTTTGGATTTATCAAAATGTCTAAATTTTTAGTTTCAACAAGTTTTTAATAAGTCCATAATATAATTTTGATATATAATTTTATTAAGGTTTTGATACTTTTGCCATTTGATGGTTTGTTTAAACCTAGGAGTTTCATTAGGTAACTATAATTAGTTGAAATTTTTAACTTATTTTTTTATTTTACTTAATTTTTTTATTTTTTTTAAGAATATATCTTATATAAGTAAATTAAAAATGACTTTTTAGATAAATTATTTTTTATTTTTTTTAAAAAAATTAAATCTATCTTGAATAAATATATATTGTAAAGAGAGAATTTGAATTTTAATAATTATGCAAAAATAATAAAATTATAAAATTAATAAATATAAATTTGTAATTATATAAATTAAGTGATATTTTTATATAAAAAAAATAAAAATTTAAATTTTCATAAAAAAAAGTTGTTTTTTATAAAAAATTTTTATTTATTAAGAATATAATTTAAGAAAATTGTAGTTATGATTAGTTTCAATTTATTTATACTAATTTAAGCCGATTTAGGCTAATTAATAGCTAAATTTAGATAGTTTATAAGTTATTTTTAGACGTATTGTAAATGGATGATTAATAGATAAATGATAGCTAAATTTAGGTAGTTATTAGATTATTTTTAGGCCAATTTTATATTAATTAATGGATAATTAATAACTGATTAACTTTTTCTGATGACTTTGATTTTATCAATTAGAATTAAAGCAAATTAGCCTAAAATCAATCATCTGATTTTTAGCTGATTTGGACTTATTTACAATTAGTGATATATTAGGATAATTTATTCAAAGACTTCATTTTTTAATCTTTTATTAGTTTTTCAATTTATTGCATTTGCTATAAATTTCTATTAGTATTTCTTAAATCATAGGATTGTGAAGTTAAATTTGCCTACTTGTTTATTATAAATTCTTTTCTGATTTACTTTTATAATAAATTAATATTTTTAAAAGATTTTAAATTGATTTTATAAATATGTAATATATTATACAAGTTTTTTCATTTAATTATATAATAAAAAATTTAATATTTCTTAGAAACTAGAAATTTGTAACTTTTAAAAAAAAATTATTAAAAATTTCATGATAAACATTTTAAAATTTACTTTTAACTATATTAATCATAATAGAATATTATAAAATTATTTATAAAGAAACTTTAATTAATTTTTATAATTTATTAAGAAATTTTCTGATTTCAGTTAATGATAAAGTGATTTAATTAATACACAAACATAAATATTAAAAAATTATTTATAATAAATTTTTTGAAACATAATTTTAAAATTAAATTATTTTAAAAACCTTTTAAATATCTTAAAATCTTTGTTAATAAATATATATTAAACTATATTTTTATATAGTAATGATATTACTAAAATTTATATTTAACATTTTATAAAGAAATTAACACTCACTTTTTTTTAATTTCGCAGGCAAATTTGCCTGCTATACAGTCTAAGGAATAAGAATTGTTTAAATCTTTTTTAAATTAAAGCAAATGGATATAATATTAATAATTATGTTAAATAGTTGTATCTTATTATAATATAAATTGATTTATTTTTTGTTATTTTTTTTATTATTATGCAATGGTGGAAAGATTTTATAAAAGGAATCTTTTTTGAACCTGCTAGGGTCTTTTATAATGGTTAATGAACTAGATATTAAACAAATTGGTAATAGACCAATAAATGAATTTCTAAATTCATTAAGATCGGAAATTTATTTATAACTTTAATAAAATTTCACCGGCAAACTGTAAAACTTATTAGCATTATATAACAAATAGTATTTCATAAAGGTATGTAGAAAAGAAGTTACCGGGCCACGGTAAATTGACAATAGTATGTTGTTTACTAAATATATGACCTAATCGAAAAACAGGAAATGAGGACTTGTGAACTTTCTAGTAAAAATATTTATATTTTTCAACTTGTTTAATTGGGTTAATTGTTTCTGTCGAAAGCGAGGCATTAACCGACCGTTTAATATTAATTTAGGTATTTGCTAGTATGGTAACATTAGCTCCAATTATTTATACAATTAGAGAAAATTACCAACCGAATACAAAAGTCCTTATCCCGAATATCTGTTAGTATTTACATTTTATTTAATAAAAAAATAATAGGGAATCATAATACGCTCAACGGATTCACTTGTTTATTTACTAAATAATATTCTTTAATAACAATGTTCAATGAAATTGAATTCGAAACCGTCCAGGAGTTTTCAATGAAACAACAGGATAAAGTTTTGATGGTAAATCATTCCATCCTTCTACCTCTGGATATTTTACACCATTGACTGTAAATGAACAGGTCCTTTTATTCATATCTAAATGAACCGTAACTTTGCTATTATCACCCGCAAATGAAGGACAATAACCATCTTGATTCACTTTACCATGATAAATTCTACCTGAAGTACTAAGTAACCATCCAACAGTAGAAGAATTTCCTATAAAATTATCATAAACCAAGTTTCCTGATGCACACACTCCAACCCAACCCCATGCACAATGTCTGTCAAGAATTACATCCCATTCAAAAATACCTGGATTTTCGAATACCACCCTAGCTCTGACACTTTGGTGTTTTAAACAAGCATCCGATGCTCGTACAACTTTCCCGTTATCTTCAATAATAAGATTATATCCACAGGCTGACTCATCCCAAACAAAGCCAGTTTCTTTATATTCTGGTAAACGTCCACGAACTTCATTCAAATCTGTATTATATGACATTGCCCGATGTCGATAAACATTTAAAATAGTTTCAACTGGGATAATGTTTAATGGCTCGATGATATTAGCTAAAATCTGGCTTTTAATTCGTTTGAAATCAATAAATTTTATCAAAGGTACTAATTCTTTAGCAATTTTCTGATGGTCTGGGATAAGCTCATTGTCAATTTTCTTAAAGTTATCTATGAGCTCTAGTGTTGGTAATTAGTTCAAAAGAGATTTAGTTGCATCGTTAGAAATGCCTCTTGCAATTAAAATAACACTATATCGAAACACCTCATATTCTGGAGTTACAAAGGGTTTATCCTTTTCATGAGTAAATGATAAAAGGACCTGAAGTGCTGTACTAGATAATCGGCCAAATTCAATTGTATTTAACGGAATAGCTGATATTGCGTCAACTAGAAGATTAGATAGAATGTTATCTTCCGTCAATGGCATTGTATCAAGAATTTTAGATAACAATTCTGGAGAATAATTATCATTGCGATTTTTTTCTAAGGTATTTTTAACAGTCTTCATAATAAACTCTTGAAGGTCAGGTAGTTGAAAGTAGTCTGCTGCAATGAAAGCATCAACGATATTTTCTTTGGTTAAAGATTCCCCTTTAACGATTCCAGTATAAACATATTCCATTATAACTTCCATTCCTGAAGAATTGATCTTTGAAAGAGAAATTTGTTTCTCATAATTTTCTCCTACTCTACTATAAAGTAATCTGTCAAATACTATAGACCTTGCAGCTAAAATCGCTCTACAACCATGTAATTTCTTTTCGTCCTTGCATATAATCTCTAAATCACTATACTTTGGGTTATTGATTAATAATCTCAAATCTTGTTCTAATGAATTTCCTCTTGTCATTTTAGCTATAATTTAATCTTCTTTTTTTTTTAGAAAGCACTTTAAAGAGTTTGTTTAGTGATGTATATAGCGGAAAAGAACAAATATCAATTTAAAATATTCCGTCTATAAGTAATTTAAAAATTTTACATATACGACATTCTAAGCTTGAATGACCTTCTAAGTGAGCTGATCGGAACAATTTATTTTTTTTTTTTTTTGTGCTTCCATTTCGATTCTAATAACCAAACATGGATGTAGAACATTTTTTGTACAACGTGTCGTGTCAATACCTAATTTATGATTAATTTCAGGTAACAAAAATATATGCCTCAAAACTGGAAGGATATTATTCTGAAACAATTCTTCTGATTTGTAACTGGGAATGAGATAAGATATATATAAAAAATATTAGAAGGATATCTAGAAATATATAAACAGCTGTAAAAAAGTTGATTTTCGCAAATTTTTATTAAAAAAAAAAATAAAATAAAATAAAAGCAAAAAGTCTGTTCGTAGCTTCCAAAGGCAATCAAACCTGAAGCTAAAAACGAAACCCACCTATCTAAATCTTGCGAAAGTGATCTTAACACGAAAGAGTAACTAAAGAGTAAATGTTCAGATAAAACATTCTAAATATTTGATCGAAGCGATTGCAAACTAAATAAAAAAATTTAATCTGAACTGAAAGAAGTCACTAAAAAAAATATCTAAAAAAAAACAACGTAATGATAATGAAAGTAATTTTTAATTGATATTTTATTTTACATCGTACAGATTTATTAATAATTAATTTGAAATACATTATATATATTTATTTATTTAGATGCAATTGATGAGAATAGTCCAAGTAAACCAACAGTCTACTGATACACTCCACTCCAATAAATATCCGACCACCTGCGATTATTTAAATCGTAAAAATTTTAATACATCGATTTTAATATAAAAAATTTATGTATGTAACTCATAATATCTCGTACTTTTATTGAATTATTAATATTTAGTTGGATAGCCGCTACTATCTATTACCGCTTGAACCCTTCTTGGCATACTTTCTACTAAATTTATTAGAATTTCAGGTTCAATTTTATTCCAATCCCTCTAAAATTACCATTAATTCCCTAATGTTTTTTGGATGAGGTATACCTTTCTTTTCAAAACGTCCAAAGATGTTCAATTGGGTTAAGATCCGAATTTCTCTCTTTCCATTTACTAACAGCTCCTGTTCTATAGACTGGGGCATTGTCTTTTTTATAATTATATTAATTTATACAGAACCTGTAATTCTACCAGAAACTTGAATTAAAGGACCAAGCTTATTTTTCGCAAAACATCCTCATATCATGACACCTTGATTTCCTGATTTTATTGTTGAAATTAAACAATTTACATCAAATTTTTCATGTGGCTTACACAAAACCCAATGATGAGCATCATTTTGAAACAATAAAAAGCAGAATTCATCACTCCATATAATTGAATCCCATTCAGAATCCCAATTTCTTCTTTTGTGACACCAGTCTAGTCGATTTACTTTAGAAACTAATAGTTTTCTCTTTCAGCTTGACCAAAAAATCCCTCAAAATGTAAAGTACTTCTTATAGTATTGTGACATACTGGAACAATTGACAAGTTGATGAATTTTTGAGTAATTGCATCTAAAAACTATTTTCGATCTCTTTAACGAGTTTTGCAAAATGACTAACATCTCTTTCTGTGAGTTTAACAGTTTATCTAGTTATAGAACAGCTGTAATTAGTTTGTATTTTTATACTTTATTATTGTATCATATATGATTAACTTAGGATGATAGAGATTGTTTGCAATATTTCGTTCATTATAACCCCTTCTAAAGATCAATTTTCTTCTTGTACTCAAATTCAGATAGTTGATACTAAGATTATTGATAAAACCTATAGATTTAGACAACTAGTAAAATTAAAGTCAGTTTAAATATTTTGACAAAAAGCTTTAACTGTGAAACATTTGCAGGTTTTGCAATTTCACAAAATTTTTATATGGTATTTAATAGAATTTTGCAATTTATATAATATTTATAATATATTTTATTATTTGTATTGATTAATAAAAACTAACCTAAATATTTTAAAAAAATTATAAAAATAATAGTCTAAAATAGTTTTAATATTTAAATATATTTATTGTTATTACTTTAATTTATTAATTACAGTTTTTTTATTTTAATAAAAATTGTTAATTACAAAAGATTTTCAATTATTACTTATTATGAAAACAATAGATTTTTTATCTATTTTGTCTATTTTTATCTAAAGAGTCTGGAATTTATACAAAAAAATATTTAGGTGAAATTAATTTTTTTTAAAAAAAATTACTTTTAATACTTTTAATTTATTATTTAATCTAAAATTTCAGAATTCTGTAATTATAAGAAAAATTAAATAAATTTTTTTTATTTAATTTTTTTTATTAATTACTTTTATTTTTTTTTTAAATCAAGTTAATATAAATTTATAGTAGTATTTTGTTTGAAATTATAAAAAATTTATATATATTATATAAAATATATAAAAAATAATTTATGTAACATTAATTAACTAAATTATTAATATATTAATCTAATATAATACTTTCTTTTTCCTTATTATTCTCTAATATAGATTTTACATTAAAATCATTATTATCTAAATCTTCAATTAGTATATTGCAAATATGTTCTAATATTATATGATATTTTAAATTAACATCATTTTTAAATAATTATTCGATTTTTAATATCAACTTCATCATCATCATCATTATCTAAACTATTAATTTTTGTTAAAATTTTAGTAATATTTTTGTTAAGTTCAAATTACTTAACTTTACTTATAAATGTATATTCTATATAAATGCATAATTTTGTTAAATCTCAAAGAGGATGAATTTATAAAATATTGACTGTATATTTATAATAATACTATAGTAATAATAATTATAAAATAAATATTAAAAAAATAAATTTAAATTTGTAATATAAAGTTTTTTTTATAAAATTTTATTAAATATAATTAAAGAAATTGTTTAATGTAACTTATTATTTATAATATAAGCTAATTTTTATAACTTACTTCAAATAATTATATAACTTTATTTTAAATAGAATTAGCTATAAGTCTAATAATACAATAAAATTTGAAATTAGATTAAATAAGATTTAATAGTCTAAAAGGTTATCACTAAATGTAAATGTATAGAATTATCTAATAAATCAAGATTTTATATATTTTATATTTTTAAAACAATTAATAATTAAATTATGAATATTTTTTCATTTTAAAAAGTTAAATTTAATATGAAATTAATGAGTTTAGACTTTGGTTTTGTACTAAAATTTTATTTTCTTCAAATAAATTATGGTATAACTTTTTAAAAAAGAATGATACATTTGAAGCAATATTTCTCTACTATTTAAAGAAATATGAAAAGATTTAATCATTAGAATTAAACTTAAAATTTATGATAGAACTTCAGATTTATTTATTTTTTTAAGTCTTAATATAATAATTCTTCTTAAATTTACTTAATCAGACTAAAATTATTTAAATAACCTTGATTTTCTATTTTTTTTAAATATATTAAATAAAATATTTACAGATTCTATATAATCTTTTATATTACACAATAGATGTAAAATAAAATCTACTAATTTACTATTTTTCATTAATCTTAATTCTTGTTAATTTTAATGACTATCAAATTATGAATAGTAAGAAATTTTATCTTATTTTCATAAGAATTATCAAATATATATTATTACCATTTTTCATTAAGTTAATAATTTTTACTTAATTTGTTCATAAAATTAATATTGTAAACAGATTTACAAAATGATCTACATATAATTGATCTATAGAATTTATCTACTGGATGATCTACAAATTGATCTACATATGTAATGCTAAAAATGTTAACATTGTTAATATAGTTAATATAGTTAATATAGTTAATATATTTGATATATTGACATATTTAATTTATTTAACATATGTAATATATTTTATATAGTTTATTTATTTAATATAGTTGATTTTTCATTATATGTAATATATAAATACAGTAGAATAGAATTTAGAATAAAAGGCAGAATTCGACAGGTTATGTAAATTAATAATTCTTAAAAATCTTTTAAAATAGCTGTAAATTTTTTTTTTATTTTATTTTTTTCTTTATTTCTTTTATTTTTTCTTTCTTATATTTTTATCAATAAACTCTTTTTATTTTATCTTTTACATTTTTGTGAGTCTGCATAATATATCAATCTTTGTGAATTATAAATCTTAACAGCCTTTGTAAATCATATAGGGCATTTTGAGAGATCTGGGACAGATTTCGATGAATGCTCTCTTAGTAATCAAATCCCCCTACAAGTCCAGTTTGCTATATATTTCATTTCTATTTATTTAACTTTCTAGCATCTTTTGACTCAATTCTAGATAATGTTATCGAACTTGGCTAGAAATTAGCCTGTTTGATATCAAGAAATATATTGATTAATATAACCATTCTAGCCTAATTTTAATCCCAAATAATATATCAAAAAAAATTTACTATTCTGTTTTCCTCTGGAGGGCCCAGCGAAAATGAAGAAACAAAGTGACGCGATTTGAGATGGGTCTGACATTGCAAACCCAATATGAATAATAACTTTTATGCTATTCTGCTTGCCTCTAGAGAGCCCAGTGAAAATCAAGGAACAAAGTGACGTAATTTGAGTTGGGTCCAACCATACATATCTAAAATGCATATCATATTCTAAGTCTCACCTCTAAATCTCACCTTAAAATCACACCTTTAAGTTACACCTTTTATCAAATCTCACCCATAAATTTTTCGCATACATTATAATCAAATTTCCTCCCAATAGCATACTGTTTAGGTAGCAAGAGAGAACAAGCATGAGGAGAAGCAGAGCGACGATAAATGCGCGTTCAATATAGGAGAATAAGTATGAGCTGGCAAAGCCCTTTAGGGTGATGCCATCAAATACGCATTCGACAGGAGAAATAATATAGCAGGAATATGAGCGAGCCCTTTAGGGCAAAGCGAATATAGATGTTATATCGTTTTGATCATATGCTACCATATTTTAATATATGCTATATATGAGGCAAATATGGATGGTAATAAGTAGGCAAATGGTAAGCAAATCACCTCTTAATAGTATACTGCTTAGGTAGCAAGAGAGAACAAGCATGAGGAAAAGCAGAGCGACAATGAATACGTGTTCAATATAGGAGAATAAGTATAAGCTAGCAAAGCCATTTAGAGCGACGCCAGTGAATACGCATTCGACTATATGCTACCATATTTTTATGTATGCTATATATGAGGCAAATATAGTGGTAATAAGTAGGCAGAAAAAATCAGAATGAAAAGCTAAAAAAGCATAAAATGCATATTTTATTCTAAATCTCACCTCAAGTCTCACCTCTAAGTCGCATCATTTATCAAGTCTAATCTCTGAGCCTTATCCCGCAATTTATTATAATATTGCATTACATAATATCCTCTAATATGTTC